TGGGAGGCTGAGGTAGGAGAATCACTTGAACCAGGAGACAGAAGTTGCAGTGAGCCAAGATGGTGCCACTGCACTCCAGCTTAGGCAACAGAGAGACTCCATCTATTTAAAAAAAAGTGTGATGACAACTACTGTATACCAGGTGCAAGGGGAGACTAGATAGAGAATATCGTGCCCAAACCCGCCTGGGGGAGTAAGCAAAACCTTTTGCACTCAAAAGACACTGTTTGGCTAAGGCATGATGGCTGCAAAGCAGTTTGCCCAGAGAACAAAGGAAGGGGCGGGAGGAGTCCATGAAAAAAAGAACTTCATAAAGAAAGGCATGAAATGGTAAGAGAATACTACATACTAAAGGAACCACACATAGTTTACTAATCGCTAAAGCACTCTGAAGAAGAAAGTGGCAGGCAATGAGTCTAAAGAGGAGACAGGGACCAGGTCATTAAGGACCTTAAATGGTTTGCTAAGGAGTTTCCATTTTATCCATCCAATGATGAGGAGGCCGCGAAAGATTCTGAAGAAAAAAAGTGACATAATCAAATGACTATTTAGAAAGATCACCCTGGAAGCAATGCAGAGGTACCTATGGAAGAAAGGTACACAAAGCTGACAAAAACACTAAAAATGTTTCCTCAGCAACTGGATTTAAAAAAAAAACACACACACCAACAAGATTATTCTTGATAATGCAACTACTCAGTTTAAATGAATTACAAGCAACTCTCTTAAGTTCTGATAAGCAAAGAAAGGAGTTTAAGATGTGGTATATACCATGTAGTTAATAAAGGCAGAAATTGATATTAAGGGAAAGAAAAGGCATAATCAGACACCAACATAATTATTTTGCCTCTTAAACTTAGTAATATTTACCTTCAATTATTCAAGGGCAAACAGAGACTGAACATAACAAGATACTTCATGTGTGGTCACAGAAAAAGCAACTTAAATGACATATCCACAAACACAGCTTTCACATGATTTATAAAGATTTTTTAAAATAAACTGACCTAATAAATTTGTTTCCAGAAGGTATTATAGTTACTCTGACCCTTCTAGAAAAAGAAAGGTCCCAGAAACTTTTTTTCACTAACTGCATAACCTGCTTTAGCTTTCTAAAACTGAGACCCAAAGTTCTTGTTCTCCATCTAGTATTAACTTGAATCTTAAATAATCAAAGTAAAATGTCCTCTGAAACAGTGATCCCCAACCTTTTTGGCACCAAGAGCCAGTTTTTCCAGGGGGTGGGGGGGCAGAGACGGTTTGGGGATGAAACTGTTCCATCTCAGATCATCAGGCATTAGATTATCTTAAGGGGCACACAACCTGGATTCCTAGCATGAGCAGTTCACAATAGGGTTCCAGCTCCTATGAGAATCTAAAGCAGCTGCTGATCTGACAGGAGGAGGAGCTCAGTCTGTAATGCTGGCTCACCAGCTGCTCACCTCCTGCTGTGCATCCTGGTTCCAAACAAGCCACGGTGGCCCAGGGTTTATGGACCCCTGACCTAAGAGAAAGAAAAATGGTCAGGCACAGTTGGCTCACACCTGTAATCCCAGCACTTTGGGAGGCCAAGGCAGGTGGATCGCTTGAGACCAGGAGTTCAAGATGAGCCTGGACAATAAGGTGAAACCCTGTCTCTACAACAAATACAAAAATTAGCTGGATATGGTGGCACATGCCTATAGTCCCAACTACTCAGGAGGCTGAGGTGAGGATCACCTGAGCCCAAGGGACGTAGACTGCAATCAGCTAAGATCACACCACTGCACTCTACCCTGGGAGACAGAGTGAGATCCTGTCTTTAAAAGAGAAAGGAAAGGGAAGGGTAAGAGGAAGGGAAGAAAGTGACCACTAAGTAGGAAAATATAGCTCTAGTCTTTAAGCTCTTGTTTTGTTCTTTTGCCTCTTTTTTTTTTTTCCAAGACAGAGTCTCACCCCGTGGCATAATCTCAGCTCACTACAACCTGGGATTACAGGTACACACTACCATGCCCAGATAATTATTGTATTTTTATTAGAGTCGGGGTTTCACCATGTTGGCCAGGATGTTCTCGATCTCCTGACCTCGTGATCCGCCCACCTCAGCATCCCAAAGTGCTGGGATTACAGGCATGAGCCACCATGCCCAGCCTAAGTTCTTCCTTAACCTATTTCTCTCCATACCTTTTCAAGAAACTCATCAGGGATACACACTCGCCATCACCATACACACATCTCCTCAATTTATTTTTTTTTCCATCTTAAACAATCTTCATCTAATGCAAGTTACAACGAAAGATGCTAGTCAAAGAAACCAAGTGGTAGTTTTCACAGTATTATAACAAAGTCTATGCTATTTATTTATATAGTATATTTACAGAGTGCCTTTCCCTCAAAATAATCACAGCATTTGATGACTGCAGGCACATTAAGCAGATATAGCAATGCTGAGTCTCAATTCATTCACAAAGAAAAAAAAGTCCAAATAATTCAACTAGCTTCCAAACTATTTTATAATATTTGTTACCTTGATCAGACTAGTACTAGAAGAATAAACAGTCCTCTGCCACAGCTTGTTCTAGCTCCTTAAATTAAAATCTGCATATTGTACTGTCAGTAAAAATATCCAAGCTAACATTGGTGATTCTGGGTAAGTTCAATCCAACAACACTCGACTAGTGTGCCCAATCAGAGTGTCTCAGATCTAATTTTAATTCTACTGTAAAAGGAATAAATACGACAAGGAGAGGATTGTCATGCATTTCCTTTATGCACACTTGTTCTACCATTTACTCAATCAGTACCAATTACCCCAACAGTCCCCTTTGAAACAACTGGATTAGTGTACCCCTTTCTAGGTTCTCCTTCCCTCTCCATTCAAAATAATTCATATGGAGTTATTTAAGAAATACTCAAAGAGCAAAGGCAGTTATGGGGAAGAGAAGAAAAAGGAGAGCTAGTGTGGGACACTCAAGAATCCATGACAGGAAGAGGGAAATAATCTATCAATGTTTAACAATGTTAGTAAAATCATAATTTGCAAACCAAATTAAGTTTTACAAGTATGCTAAAATGAACTACTAACCAGTAACCAGTACAAATACATAGTCTGAGTCTACAACAATTTATTAAACATATTAAATTACACAAGCATATAACCTGAATAAGTTTTAGCCATAAGCAGATTACACTGAATTCCCATATCAACAAATGTATATAAAAAGAGAAGTGTTTGGTTACATGAGATATGCAATTCACCGCATAAGGAAAGGTTTCTGTTGAGAAAGAATGGCAGAAACATTTTGGCTAAGAGAAGAAAATAACTATTATAATAGTGAAAGATAATGTTCCATTTCTTAAACTGCATAAAAGACCTATTAAGTGTTGGCTGCATTGTTAGTCTGTATATTTTACGTTTTTATAAATATTTTGTCATAAGTAGTATCTTATAAAACAATGTTTAAGTGTGAGAAAAATCTGAAAAAACATTTGTTGACATTAGAAGTAAAATGTACACATGCATCCAATCCATTTGAGCTAATTACAGTACTTTTTAATATAAATGAAAAAGAGAACATAAAAATGTGAGTAGGTAGAAAAAAATGTCATAATTTAGCCTTAATTTCCCTACAGAAAATAAGCAGTAAAGATTTACTGGTGCTCTTAAAGAGACTGTGTGTCTGTGTAATGTGTATTTATATACACACTATATTAAACTACTTGAAATAAACTTTTTACCTCTAAAGTTCCCTTAAAACCAACCACCATCACAAATATTTCCTTAACCATATAAAGAGTACTGATACTCCTCTACACATAATCCCAGAATTAAAAAACAAATTCCTAAAGAGAAATGCTCATAGTGCAAATAACTGTATCTTTTGTATATATGCAGGCTTAACATTTACGTGAGTTGTCCAGGTTTAACTACATCTATAGTACATGCTTTATGATGGGCACATGCATTTTCAGTATGCCCTGTCAATACTAACTTGAGTGAGAGAGCAATATAGTCTATTGATGAGTAGCACAGGTTCTGGAGCTAGCGTTCCTAAATGTAAACTTAGCTTTTCTACTTCTTAGCGATATAATATTGGGCAAGTTATTTAACTTCTGTTTCAGAGTCTCATCTGTAAAATGGAAATAACACTACATACCTCATAGGGTGTTGGAACTGATTAAAACAATGTACAACAAGACTGGCGAATAATAGGTGCTACATAAATGTGAGCTGTTACTACTAGTAAAGCTGACCCTTGAACAACGTGGGCTTAAACTGTGCTGGTCTACTCATACACATTTTTTTTCAAGCAATACAGTATTCATGGGATGCAAAACCCGAGTATACTGAGGGCTGACTTTTCCCTATACACGGGTTCCTCACAGCAACTGCAGGATTTGAGCATGCGTGGATTTTGGTATATGTGGGGGTCCTGGAACCAATCTCCTGTATACAGTAAGGGAAGAATGTAGTAATAATAGCATTGCACCCTCTTCCTAAACATACTGAAAACATTCTTTTTTTTTTTTTTGAGACGGAGTTTTGCTCTTGTTACCCAAGCTGGAGTGCAATGGCGCAATCTCGGCTCGCCACAAGCTCCGCCTCCTGGGTTCAGGCAATTCTCCTGCCTCAGCCTCCTGAGTAGCTGGGATTACAGGCACGCGCCACCATGCCCAGCTAATTTTTTGTATTTCTAGTAGAGATGGGGTTTCACCATGTTGACCAGGATGGTCTCGATCTCTTGACCTCGTGATCCACCCGCCTCGGCCTCCCAAAGCCGAAAACATTCTTAAGCAATTTGCATTCCTGACTAAAATCAAATGCTACCTATATTTAAAATAGTCATCAAATCTGAGGCCTGATTAACAGTAAGTTTAAAGCCCTGCAACCCTGAAGAAAACAGGTGATTCACAGATCTACATTAACTACTCTATCAAGAACAATCTGAGAGGCCTGGTTCCCACAGTGCAACTATCAATTTCTTCCCTTACACAAGGGGGCAGTGATAACAAGAAAAGAATCGGGCTCTGTAACACCTCTTCCTACAGACAGTAGGGGGTGGCAGTACATATGGCGTACAGTCAGAACAAAACAGGAAGACCCAACAGAATTCTCTTTATTCTCCTCTGGCCCTTTCCTCTGTTCTTCAGCCCCAACAGCATCTCAAGGTAAGGGACATCTCTACAGAAAAGACTAAAACCCTAAATCAATCACCAAGGAAAATCCATTTTTGCCTTTGAAGCAAATGATCCCTCAATGGCTGAATTTGGATCTAAGGGAAAGCCAATCAGTATGAATTTTCAGACTATCTGGCAAATTACTACAATGAGAACAGCATTCACACATGTAATTTAATTTCTTTACAAGAAATTTTAAAATAAAACATTAAAATCTAATCAATAATTAAATACATTCTAATGAACACATCTCCATGTTTTTGTTTCATAGTATATTAACACTCATTATATGTATACATGTAAGTTACATTAAATAGATCATGGAGTTGTCTTTTGTTATTTCTGAAATCCCAGCTATGTTCTGACATCCTCTCAAAACAGATGTTCTTAAATGGATGTCACAACGTTTTGCAGCCAGTGGGTAATGTCGTATGTATGTGTAATATACATGTACATGTATCTATATATAGACATAAATATCTAGATAAAGAGGGGAGAGGGAGAGAGGGAGAAAGGGAATGTTTAACGTTTAATTTCGTGCTCACATTCCTAAGAGGATCTACCTGGGAAATGCTGCAAGAAGCACTCCACTGACACTATCCATGTTGTTGCTTTTTATGGCAATTTACTGTATTCAATTTTTTTTATTTCACCATCCCAACCCTAAGAACATACAAAAATATTTTACTACTACCGTTTTCTGTAATTAACCATTGTGACAGATACTGGCTCCAACCCCTGAAAATTTATCCCTTTTGTTCACCATATTGTTTTGTTTTCCTCATTACAGATATTTTCACCTGTGTAAAAATCAGGAAAAGGGCACATACGAAAAATACTTCCCTTTGCCTAATGATCTTGAACTCATAATTATGGTCAAGACGTTTGGGGTTTTGTTTATTAGTGTCTTTTCCTGGAGAGGAGCAGAGAAGAGAGTGAAGGACACCCGAAACACCAAATCTTCTTCCTAATGTTAATTATCATTGTTTATGTTTGTGAAGACCATTTTAAACATTTCACACCTGGAAGTGAAGACTGGATACAATTGTACCCGTGCTCTACACACTGACGGCAAAACCTGGAATTATTTTAGCCCTATTTTTGCTTTCCCATCTCAAAGCCAGACACAATTTGCTTTTTTTCTTTCACGTGGTTACTTTATCTCAAAGAAGAAAAAAAAAAAAGCTTATCATAGCTCTTCTCGATTTCCTATGGCAAAATATCTACCAAGGAGCTTTATTAATCTTTCATTATGCTACACCTCCTTTCCCAGAGGAATTATTAATATCGCTAATAACACTTCTACCATGAATCTCAACGCCACACAGGCCAGCCCACCCTGTGCCTCACCTGGCACATTTCACAACTACTTTTATGCTGCATTCTGGGGGCACATTTTGCAACTCGTTCTGCACCACATTCCCTGCCACGTTTAGCAATCCGCCTCGCATCTTATCCTGGGTCCCCGTCATCCGGAGACGCTCTAGGTACCAAATTCCATGACACCTTCGGTGACAGCCAAGTGGCGACCCCAGACGCCTCTGAAGCCCGCCTTGGTGTCACATTCGAAGCCAGCCTTCCCCACGCCTTGGACACCGAGGCACTTCGCTGCCCATTTCGCTGTCTCCCCGCTCGCCCCCGCCCCTCTCCCCGGAGCCGAGGCGGTGGAGGCGAACGCCCCTGTCACTGAAGCGACCTCTCCTCGCCCTGCTCCCCGGGCCCTTACCTGAAGCTCTGAGGGGCTCTCTGCACCTCCGGGTTAAGCCCCAGTCCCCGGGGTCTCCTCTGAGGACCGCGCCGCCCGCCGGCGCCGCCTGCGATTCCCGGAGCACCTCGCTGCCCTCCGACGCCCCGCGGCGGGTCTGCGCCCCGGAACAGCGCGGCGGGGCCTCGCACCCGGCGAGTGCAGCCCGCGGCGGTGCTCCTGTCAGCGGCGGCTCTGGGGGCCAGCTCTCGCCCCTCGACTAGGCTCGGCTCGGCAGCGGCGGCGGCGGAGGGCGCCTCGCTCCGCCTCGCGCGCGGCACAGCCGGGAGGTGAGCGCGAGGGGGATGGGAATGGGGGCGGGGCCGCCCGGAGGAGGCACGGAGGGCGGTGGCGGTGGCGGGAGGGTAGCGCCAGCGGCTCCGGGCGGGGCGCTCGGAGCGCTCGGAGCTTCCCCCGCCGGGCGGGCGGCTCGCGCGAGGCGGCTGTGCTAGCGAGCCCCGCCGGAGCAGCGCGCCCAGCAACCCGCGCCCGACCGGCCGCTCGCTAGCGCGGCTGCCGCGCTGGGGGCGTCGCACCCTCGGAGGACGCCCGCAGCCCCGCCCCCTCCGGGCCGGGGTGGGGAGGGGCGCGAGCGCGGAGGGAGCGCGCGTGCGTGGGGGCGCGTGCGTGGTGGAGCTAGCGCGCCCCCGCCCCTTCCACAGCTTGGGGGTGGGGAGCGGCTGGAAAAGGGAGTGGGGACGCAGCCCTCCTCGGTGCGGAGAGACGGGGCCCTGGCTCTGGCGCTCTGGGACGTCCTGGCATTTCTCGTATCCCCGAGGGGCTTCGACTGGTGGGTGGTATTTGGAGGGGAAGCGGGGAGGAAGCTAGCTCAGTAACTGACAGGGCCCTACATAGTTGGGCTCCGCCCCCAGGGGTGATGTCACTCTCGAGGTGGCTGCTGCTGTCACGTGCGCCCACTTCAGGGCCTGTCCAACAGCTTTGATGACCAAAACGTTCCCCTAGATCTCCCTACTTCGGTCACCTCAGGCACATATCACTCTGGGAGTCCTCGAAGGCCACAAGTGTCAGTTATTCTTTCCCGGCTTCTCAATGGTATTTTGTAGACGGCTTCAAAAGGCCAGGGTTGGCTGTGGGGAGAATGAGAATGAGAAAGAAAACAAAACAGCAGCGGGGTTGTGGAGGAGACCGAGCGTGTTATTTAGAATAATTGCTGAAAATTCACCAACCAGAGCTTGCGAGCCTGAGGTAAAGTCATGGCGCTGCTTCTGTCACTGTCCGGTTGGCTAAGAAGTTAACATGGTTTTAAGAGCTGGTCGGTAAGGGCAGGAAAGCCACTACATTAATGCCTCATCGACGGATATTAGGTCATATTTCACCCGCCACGTAGATCTTCCACTCTATGCTTTCCCTCCTATCATAAAACCAAGTCGACTGTGGAAGATGTTTGGGACATAAACATCTTTGCGTGCTGCAAGATGACGCGAAGCAATCCCTGTTACCAACTCTGCCTGACTCGTCTTTCCTTCCATAAACTGAGATGACCTTTCGTGGTCATCCAATTTCTTAATCAGATGGCATGATTGGAAATAGATGCACCAAATTACATCAATCAAGGAAGCTCTGGTCTGTGAAGCTTCCAAGGTAGAGAGGTTTGTTTGGTAACAGCACTTTGAATCTACCCAATCCCTACCCCATCCTGGTAGCAGTTTATCCAGGAGTTTCTTCGATTTGAAAAAAGTTAGTATTAATTTCAGAACGATACAAGAAATCGAATATGAAGCCGTGTCCAACAGTGAATGCTTACAAAGCATTCTTCTCTACAGTGAATGCTTGCAGTCAGAGCTAGAGCTGCTTTGAATAGCACAGCTAACATGGCAAGGTGAAGGGCTGACATATGGAATCTTTTGGTGTTAACTCCAGAAAGTTGAATTAATCTAACTAAAACTCACCTACCTATGGTGTTAGAGGCAAACGTAGTGATTACTTACAGGGGAATTGATTGAGAGGGGACAGGAGAGAGCCTTCTGGTTTGCTGGAAATAGTCAATATCTTGATCTAGTTAATGGTCATACGGTTGTATACATATGCAAAAAGATCTGTACGCTTTATGTCAGTTTTTAAAAATCACATAGATACAAAGAAGCATTACAGTGTCATCATCACTGGAGTTGGAAAACCTTGGTTTGAATCTCAGTGTCACCCACCTACTAAGTGACCTTGAGCAGGTCTCTGGACCTTCCTTTCTTCATCTGTCTAATGTGGGTGATGATATTAATACTTACAGATGGTTGTAAAGATTAAATGAAATTTTGTAAAATACTTAGAACAAAGCCTGTTACACAATAAGGGCTCAGGAAACAAGAGCTATTATCTTATCCTTCTTACGCTTACCCTATTTAATTCTCCTTCAGTCTTTTAAAATTTATTTTTAAGATTACTTTATATCTAAACCTTTCCCTGCAAGTTTCACTTAGGCTAATAATATTCCTTTCCCCTAGAAATAACAAAAGGCAGTCAGGAGTGTAATGCTGATTTTCAAACTAGTTCAGGTGGCAGCCCCTAGAAATTATGGTGCTCAATGTGGAGCCTCATGAAATATCGATAGATTTAACTCTGCCATATGGAACTGACACAATTTTACTAGCACTAAATCTGGTGCTATGCAGATCTCCACATATTTTTTTTTTAATGGGCTTTTGTTGTTGTTATTTTTGTCTTTTTTTTTTGAGACACGGTCTCGGTCTGTCACCCAGGCTGGAATGCAGTGGTGCAATCTTGGCTTACTGCCACCTCTGCCTCCCCAGTTCAAGTGATTTTTGTGCCTCAGCCTCCCTCCCAAGTAGCTGGGATTACAGGCAGACACCACCATCACTGGCTAATTTTTGTATTTGAGGTAGAGACGGGGTTTCGTCATGTTGACCAGGCTGGTCTCACACTCCTGATCTCAAGTGATCCACCCACCTTGGCCTCCCAAAGTTCTGGGATTATAGGAGCAAGCCACTGTGTCCAGCCAAAAAAATAAAGTGTTTTTAAGAAATAATACATCTGGCATTTTTCTCTTTAAATTTATTTGCAACTTTTTTACAAGGTAGGAAGTACCGAAAACTTAATAATAATTCACAAAATGAAAACGTTTAAACCCATTTTTCCTGGAAATTCGAAAAACACTGTAATTGTTCAATTTTAGCAACAGAGCTCTTTATTGGATTTACCTACACTAACCTCTGATAGCTGTAACCCACATAATCTCCTGCTCTGATAAAGTGAGTAACTCTGACTCACTGTCCTCATCATACTTCCAAAGATCAATCCCCACTTCTTTTGGCCAGCCTTTCCCAAATCCCATTTTCACATGGGTAATGTCCAGGAATGAACTCACTGCTTCCCTCTTTTGATCATCCACCATCTTTCTATTCTGCCAATTCTCTTCCACATAGTTCTACTGTCCAGCCTTATAATTTTGCCGCCATGCTCTAACTTTGTGGACGAAACAATACTCCCTAACAGGGTTGTGGGTGGGGTATAGTAGAGACAGAGAAGAACACTGTAGCAAGAAGCCACCTCTGTTCTTAACTCCTCTCCCTGAATTCCTTTTCTGTCACTATTACCTGAAATCCTGAGAATACTAATTTTATTAACTACTAAAAATCTATTCTAGTAAAGATGATAATTTAGTTTATCACTTAAATTTGGAAACATAACATATGCCATGTAATAAGAACCTGTAAATAATTGTTCATAACATAGCTAACATAGCCCATCCTTACCCTATACCTCCCAACATTTCAGCATCATCTGTATCATTCAAAGTGCCCTTTCTTGCCCTTTCAAGTCTACACTCTCCCTCACCTCTGCTTATGATGTCTTCCCTGGCTACCTCTAAGTGTCTGTCTCTCTCTCTCTCTCTCTCTCTCTCTCTCTCTCTCCCCTCTCTCTTTGAGACAGGGTCTTACTCCTATCACCCAGGCTGGACTACAGTAGCACCATCATGGCTCACTGCAGCCTCTACTTCCCTGACTCAGGTGATCTTTCTACCTCAGCCTGCTGAGTAGCTGAGACGAAAGTGCCACCATGCCCAGCTAATTTTTTATATTGTTGTAGTGATGGAGTCTCGTCATGTTGTCCAGGCTGGTCTCGAACTCCTGGGCTCAAGCAACCCACCTGCCTCAGCCTCCCACAGTGCTGGAATTACAGGCATGGGCCACCATGCCCAGTCCTCTAAGGCTCTCAAGTAAACCATCAGGCTCACTTTTTTCTACCCTTTTCCCTCAACTCTCTCTCCCTATTGAATAAAGAGTAATACCATTCACCATTGGTTAATCACCTACTGGCAGCAAATATTTTACTAGCTACTTTATATATACAGCCTCATTTAATCTTCACAACATCCTATCAGATAAGTATTATCTTAATTTTTTAGATGAAGCAGCCCAAGTTTACAGTGAATGATGGGTAGAGCCACAAACTAAATGTAGACAAACTTTATTCTCTATCAGTTGCCCCGAGGAGAATGCCATATAAAGTGTAAATGAGAACAAATAATATATATTTTTAAAATGTGAGTTGCCAGTTGTTCATGCCTGTAATCTCAGAGTCTCAAAAAATGGAAACAGGAGGATCACTTGAGTCCAGGAGTTTGAGATCACAATAAGCTATGATTGCACCACTGCACTCCAGCCTGGGCAACAGAGCAAGACCCGCACTCAAAAAAAAAAAAAAAGTAAGCCATGTCACACAATGGAAGGATTTCTACAGGTGGATGTAAATAAGATTTTTCCCATTGATTGTTTTTCATAATCTCATTTCTTGATCTGCAGTTAATGGCTTCTAACACAATAAATAGCTTCAACATTTTCCCCACCAACTCTACCTCAGGCTTTTGATAAATATTTAATATTTCTAGATGAACACTTAAAAACATTTCCACATAGAGGAGCTACTACTTAAAAGAAGTTTCTAGTAAATCCCTTTTTTGTAAAATGAAAAATGCATGTAAAATATGAATAAACAAATGCTCATATCTTTATACATTGACATTTATAAATGTTTGACAAATATTTGTACCTACTGTTTATATATAGCTGTGATAAGTGCCATAGGGCATACAGAATTGATTGAGGAAAGTCTTGCCTATTCAACTGTCATAATCTACTTGAGAAGCAGAATGCCTAAAACATTTAAATATATAATATAGCATATTATAGAATTAAGTCTCAACATGAATAGAACAGTAAGTTCTGTAATAAATTACAAGAATGAGGGATACAAGTTTGACTGGGATGGTACGGAACTGCTTCTTGGAGAAAGCAGAACAGGAAAAAGAAATAGC